TTAGATTTGCGTTTATTGATTGCTGAGGACTGTATTTTTTTCTCTTCAATTATTTGATTTTTCTGTGATTGTTGAAGGTTGAAGACAATGTCGGATGAGGAAAGAGAGGAGAGGGAGTTGGATCTCACCTCTCCTGAAGTCGTCACTAAATATAAATCTGCTGCTGAAATTGTTAACAGTTACGGCTCCGAACCCTATTTTCTCTGTGAGCCGTGCACATTATTTTTGTGTGTTTATATGTGATTTTACAACGGAAAGTTTTATTTTAATTTAATTTAATTATTATTTTTTTTATTTTTTTATTTTTGGTTTGCTGTTGGATATTTTGGATTTGATTTTTAATAGATTTTTCTCAATTGATGCAGAGGCATTGCAGTTAGTGTTGTCTGAATGCAAGCCGAAGGCTAAGATTGTTGATATCTGTGAGAAAGGGGATTCTTTTATCCGAGAGTAAGCTCTTTGTTTCATTTAATTTGCCGCAAAAGTTATTTAGCATTACAAGAAAATATATTCATTTAGACATGTATGATCTATTCATTATTATGTTTGAGGATATATTGAAATTAAGTGGTTGCATGATGTGCTTAATTTTTAGGCAAGCAGGAAATATGTACAAGAATGTGAAGAAAAAGATTGAAAGGGGTGTGGCATTCCCTACTTGCATTTCAGTTAATAACACAGTCTGCCATTTTTCACCACTGGCCAGTGATGAGACCGTGTTGGAAGAAGGTGACGTGTTAAAAATGTAAGATACAAGCACGAGACATTCTGCATTGTCCCAATATTTTTTGGCGAACAGTGAAATGATTTGGTTTTCTTGGAATGCAGTGATATGGGGTGTCACATAGATGGTTTTATTGCGGTTGTTGCGCACACCCATGTTCTTCAGCAAGGACTGGTTACCGGCAGGGCAGCTGATGTCATTGCTGCTGCAAATACTGCTGCGGAGGTTGCTTTGAGGTTGGTCAGGCCGGGAAAAAATGTATGTTCTTGTCGGAGTTTTCCTTTTTTAAATGAAGTTCGTTAATTTTTTGACAATTGAATGGCTGCCTTCACATGTGAAAGTTATAATATCTTAGTTATGTGGAATTGAAAAGTTTGAGTTTGACTCATATTTTGTCGCAGCTTAATTCAGCTAAACTGAATCTACTGCAATTAACATGTTGATTGTCTATTTCTTTGGTGAACACCACAATGTTTTGTTTTTTGTATATATTTTCTGCTATAATTTCAGCTCTCGTACTTCTCCTGTTTAACCTCAAAAATATTTATCACCGTTGATTTCTCTATATTTTTGTTTTTTAGGTGCTTCCTACTCAGTCTTATTTAATTTGTACTAATTCTACAAATGAAGAATTTTTGTCGCATGGTTGCCATTATAATCTTATAA